GAACGAGCAAAACAGCGAAGGAAAACGGACGCAGGGAAGAAAGGAAAGGTTTGTGCGTGTCTGTAACTCCCAGGCTAGTTTAATATATAATTAAACACATTTAGGGTCCACTTAACATACTTAACCGATTTGGATAAGTTTAACTCCAATTACTTGATTCGTCAATAGTATCTTGGACCCAATAAGCCCGATTCACAATCCGTTTGCGCGATCGGGTCCAGAACAACGAGCTCTACAACATAGGATAAACCCTCATTAATTAAGGCAAATTATAAAATAATCCTCATATTGACTGACCCAATAATTAATTAATTTTATAAATTAATTAAAATACTAAGCTGGGCTTTGGGGCGTTACATTAACAATAATTATTTTTATTATTATATTTACAAATAAAGATTATTATTAATTTTTGTTATCATTATTTCTAATTATTAATAGGTAATAATAATAATGGTTATTATAATTTTAGTCATAATTATTTTTAATTACTATTAGTGTTATTATTATGTACGATGAAAATAAATTATTACTATTTTTATTAATTATTTTTATTATTATTAAGTATTTATGATAAGAATAATAACTACTATTATTATTGTCGTAATTATTATTAGTTTTAGTTAATGATAATGATTATTATTATTTTAATCATTATCATTATTAATTACTATTACTATTATTATTAACTATGATGATAATAAATTATTATCATTATTAGTCATTATTTTTATTATTAATTAATAATGATATAATAGTAATAACTATTGTTTATATTGTAATTTTTATTATTATTATTTTAGAATTACTTATTTTTTAAATATTTTTTTATGTGAATGGACTTCATTTGAATGAATATGATCTGATCTGAATGTTCTGATCTGATTCTGATAAGAATAAACAATACTCCCTCCGTCCCTAAATAGATTACAAATTTTTTTCTTTCCTCTCGATAACTTTTGTTTGTTTACGCAATTTCATTAAGTATTTGATAAAATAAAATAATCTTGTCACCTCTTATTTTGTAGAACTTTTGACGTAGTTTTTTAATATATAATTTTTATATCTTATTGATATATCAATTTATAAATAAAATGATTTCAAAAAGTAAGATATTTACTCCGTAACCCGCAATTTGTAATCAAATTAGGGACGGAGGGAGTATATAGCAAAAATAAGTTGAATAGAGCGAGACCTATATCAACTCGGCAATTAGGGTTTTTATTATGGAGAATGCTAAAGAGGCACCACGTGTGCCTCCAAGCCTGCCACCCGATATATTTATTTTTTTTTTCAATTTCCCTTTTTTCTTAGTCTTTTCATCTCCTCTCTTCTTCCCCAAAATCCCCCCTTTTCATCTCCATTTTTTCGGCAACTCCAATTCGCCGGCATAGCAGGAATTGCAGTGCCAGACAACTCCAATTCAGACAACTTCAGCGCCGGCAGCCCCACCCCTACAGCTCCAGCGCTGGCAATCCCACCCCTCCAGCTCCAGCGCTGGCAGCCCCACCCCTCCAGCAGCGCCGGCAGCCCCACCCCTCCAGCAGCGCCGGCAGCCCCACCCCTCCAAACAGGTACTGACGCTAACTTTCCTTTCCTTGGTCTCTTTCTTTATCTCTCTCTATTTCTAAAATTGATATAAACCCTAGGGGGTTCGGATCTTGAATTTTATTCTACATTGGAATTTTAGCATCTTTAGTAAATACTCCATAGTAATTAATAATTTTCGAACAGTTTCGAAGCATCAAAGACCATATGCCCTAATTATGGTTTAAAAAGTAATAATCATGGGCCGTTCAAGGATCCAGTTTATGATATACTCAAGATTTACTTCTTTTTTTTAAAAAAATTGATTTCTTCAAAACTTAGCAGAAGAAAGCAACCAGGGGAACCAAGTTCACAGACGATTAAGATCTGTCATTTGAACTTCATATAACATTATTGTCTGTGAAAGATGTCTACTTGTTATTTTTGCTTACTTTCTGTGAATTGTATGTCATAGACGATTAACTTCTGTTTATTGAACTTCATATATGATTATTTTTTGTGTAGATATTTAACTTGTGTTAATTGAACTTCATTTCAGACGATGTCTTTGTTGCTGTATGGCAATTGTGGAGTGATGGTGCTACCATTAAGCACGGACTGCAGTTCTGAACACATAGTTGATTTCCGATGTCAATTTGCAGCTAGGTTATGGCGTGGAAGGAAAACAACCAATATTTAGCTTTTTTACTTTACAATTTTAGAGGTCTTTAAATTTTTGAAACTCTTTGTAATGGTTTTTGTGCTTTTGTAATGTATTTTTTGGGGAAACACTTTAGATTTTTTTGAAAGCTTTGTAATGGGGCTTTTATCATCATGAATTTCTACGTGTTAATGCACAATTTGTTAATGTGTGTGATTACTGATTTACATTAGTTTATGACTGAATTACAGATTTACTTTCAGAGACCTCACAGATAATAACTATTTATTTTACCCATTACACAGAGTTTTAATGTATGTGATGACAGAGTTACATAACATTATGTACATACACCATCTTCAAAATCTTATCACATAAGTGGGGGTCTTGTAAATGCAAAAGGAAAGTTAAAACACATACATTAGATTTCATAGTGCTCACATGGAATAACTGTCTATGTCACACACTTCACAAAGAATTAATGTATGTGAAGACAGAGTTACATCAGGATAGAGTTACACCAAATGCAGAGTGCATACAGATTATTAGTATCTGTGACAAGGACAAACCCTAGGTTCACAGAACTTTAATCTCTGTAACACCAAAATAAAACATTTTTTTTCCACTACTTCAAATAAATATACAATGGGGTCTAAATATCAAGCCATACAATGTAAAAACACAAGCAAAACCAGTAACCAAAGTAAGGGCCAAGGCTCGTCCTTGACAATCCGATTGTTCAGTGTCCGTCCGTCAATCCCAACTGTCACCAACTCAAAACTGTCAATTAACTCAAATTAACCATGAAACTTTAAATCCACTAAATCCATCAAGTTGAGTTTTGTTTACCCTAAAAACTGAAATTAATTAAATTTCAATTACCTTAAATTCAGCCAATGGCGAAGGAAGCGGCGGATGAATAACATAATAAAAGGCATAAAAAACAGGAAAAAAAAACTAAACGGCAAGAGAAACGTGAAAAACAGCAGATTTCAATAATTGACAAAAAAGCAGCAAAAAAACATAAAAAACAGCAGAAAAAAACAAAAAAACCGAAAAAAGTAATAGCAAAAAATAACAGAAAAAGATAAGAAGAGGAAGATTGATATGAAGATCTGAATTTGATATGAAGAGGAAGATAAGAAAAAAAAAGATATTACCTTCCAAGGATAGCGCAGAAGGGAGAGGAGGTCGTGCGCGCGGCTGACTGGCGTAGAAGAGCAGAGCCGGAGGGGGGAAAGAAAAAAAAGAAAGAAAAAGTAAAAAAAAACATCTTAAATAGGGAGGCAGCGATGGAGGCAGGGGTGAGTGTACTGTAGCACGGTTCTTTTATTATTGAGGTGCTCACCGAGTGCAAAGATTGCTATTTATGAAGACAAAATAGGGTTAAAAGCTTAGTGCCAAAGTTAGGCCCAAGCCCACATATATTTGATTCAGCCTGCGTGCCATGTTGACGTTTGTATTGTGCTTTACCTTTGATTCAGCTTAATGTACATTAAACGGGGCTTACTCCGCAGAGCTCCGGCGACTCCGCGTCTTCGCCCTCCTCCTCGTTACAGGTTCATCTTCAATCACCCTTGTTGCTGTTAGATATATGTCCGTTCGCTGTCCTTTCAATCCAGAGTCTATACCAACTCTTATTTTATTTATTTATTTATTGTTAATTCGAATAAGATTATATAAGATTGGATTAGTTTTTCCCTTTCGTTCTTTGAGGAATATTCATATTTTCGTCTGTTGTATTACCGAGGAGTTATTACTCCGTATTTTCTACTAGAACAGAATAGAGTAGTGGATATATGGGTAACAATTAGGTAGGGCATGGAAAAACTTTGAGACCCAAAGATTTTGTGCTTCAACCTTCAAGCATTGGATTAAGATAAAATAAATTATCGTTGGACCAGGAACCTATTAGGTCGTTGGAAAATGAAAAAAAGGAAATTTATTTGGAGCGGGAGAGAGATTCTTAACTATTTGTCTGGTAGGCGGACTGGTGGTTGCAGCTTATGAGATCTAGTACATATGATACAGATGCTCAGCTTCGGGATATACTCTGTATCTTTGTATAGCTAACTGAAAATTTTGAACGTCAGGGCGGCTACCTGACACCCGAAAACCCTAGCCTATCATCATTTATTGCATCTGCTGACGCTCGCAAGGGGCTGGGTTCTGTACATTTTTTTCCATTGCTCTGACCAGGCATGGTTTGGGTCATGCGGGACCTCATTTCTTTGTGTTGTTTCTTTGTCCGTTTCATTATTTCTGCTACTAAATTAGTACTCCATGTTTTAACTCCCCCCATTAACGTTGGATCCTGATACCGAGTATAATATAGGTGTTGGAGACTTGCCTCTAACCAATAACGATTTCATGTTTTCAGTCACGGATTGAAACCTCAATTTCTAAACCAAACATTCACTGAAACCAACACATGTTTACAAAAAAAAAGGTACTGGTGTGACAGAAAATCAATATTCGTTGGATTTTTTGTTTTGTCAATCCAAAACAAAAGAAGCTGTATGCTCACCCATGCGGCCATGCCTTTCATTGCCTTTCCTTCCATATTGATCATTAATAGGATATGTTACAGTTGTTTTATACAAAAAAATAAACATTTATCCAGAAGTAGAAAGCTCTCCTACACTTTGGGCTGTGTCACCTTTAATGATAATTTGGATGAATTATGTATTGAATTTAGACTTCATCTATGAATATGTACTCTCCAACTGTTTTGTAGATGACCATGGCAAACGGGGAAACAGATGGGAAAAAGAAATGAAGTGTAATAGGCAAAAACTAATAAGATTTGCCTATATTTGGTTTTGTGTTTCTATGTGTATTTCCTGGATATAATTATATTTGAGATTTGTTTCCAGTCTTCTTTTGCTTTCAGTGTTCCGTTATTTCACCATGTTCTCATTGCTAATGCATTTTATGTATAGTGTATGAGAAATTAACAATTCTCTCCTTGTAGTATGTATATTACACAATCACTTCCACTGGCCATTGACATTTCATGCATCTTGTGTCAGTTGTAAACTTTTACTAAGAAGCAGCAGGTGTATCTCATGGCAAAACACCCCGTGCAGCTATTCGTAAGTAGTATGTGCTCTTATACTTCTCTTGGCCATTCATATATGTATGTACGTATGTACGTATGTACGTATGTATGTATGTATGTATGTATGTATGTATGTACGTATGTACGTATGTACGTATGTATGTATGTATGTATGTATGTATGTATGTATGTATGTATGTATGTATGTATGTATGTATGTATGTATGTATGTACGTATGTACGTATGTACGTACGTACGTACGTACGTACGTACGTACGTATGTATGTATGTATGTATGCTCTTACTTTTTTGGGCTATCATAAACCGCTACAGACTAGAAGTCTTAGAAAAAATCCAATTGCTCCAAGGAATTTTTCTTTCTCCATTTCATTCCACTATATCTGCTTATTGCTGCCATTTAACAATACAGATGATCTATATGCTCTATATGATTCATATTCAATGCTTATGCTATACATGGTTTTAACTAAAACTTACTAATAATGTCATCTTTATTGTGTTTCGAACAGGATTGTCATTTTACACAACAAATGAGAAATTGAGAGCTTTGTTTTTGCCTTTTGGCGAGCTTAAAGAAAGTACTTGTTATTTTTTCCCTTGATCGCATTACAATTTTTTTATTTATTTCTTGAGTTGATAAACTAAATTCATTAGAGCTTTGGATCAATTTAGCAAGGCTTTTGATAGATCCTAGAACTCAGAGACCCAAAGGATATGGATTTGTGACATTTGACTCTGAAACTGATGCCCATAGTGCTCTTAAGGCTTTGAATTGAAAGGTACCTTTATTTCAAGTTGCATTGTTTTAATTGATGTGCTGTTGGATTATTTTAGGGCATTGGACTATAAAAGAATTATTTGGTTGATTGGTTGGAGAATTCTTACTAGTTTTGCATCTCCCCAATTATGTTTTGGTCTCACTGTGATTAGCCGCAATACATAGTTTTGTTTCTTATGATTGATCATCGATGTTAATTAAATTGTGCTTCTTGGAAAACATTTAATTTGAAATGAAATTTCACTGTGATTTCCATCTGATTGTTTACAATGTTTTCCCTTGTGGACTATCTGCTGGCATACTGAGGTTCTTCCACTGATGAATCATCCCATCAGTTTGGTTTGGGCTGTGGGAATTGCTGTTTAATAAAATGGTAACTCATCCCACCAGTTTGGTCCTATCATTGTAATCAGCTTCCAGGGAATCATTGTGATGATTTTTTGTTAAAACATTTTGATGGAATTTCCTTCATAGATTATACTCCCTCCGTCCACAAATAAACTTCTTGTTGCACGTTACGATGTTTGACTGAAGTTATTTTTAGAACATTTTATATAAAAAATGGTGTGAAATTTTAAAATAAAAATTACATATTAAAAAACTATATCAAAAGATCTACAAAACTAGAGGTGACAAGATTATATTATTTTATCAAATGGGTAACGAGAATAGGCCAACAAAGTGAATAAAGTTTGACCCTGTGAATAGTGAATGAGAAGTTTACTTGTGGACGGAGGGAGTTTGTTTAAATATTTAAAAGGGTTTCCGATGACGCTACTGGCATCTACGCTGGCAGGGATAGATTTTTTATGTAAGACTGTTTTCAGATCTTTTCAAAGGAAGATTCAAGGTTTCTACAACGGTGCTCCTTCGGTCTCATTCACAATGGAGGAGGTGCGATCTTTGGATCTGAAATTTAAAAATGCACTTGTTGGAAGGAGTAATGGGAGGATCAGCCTTTTGGAATTGGAGAACTTTCTTCTTAGGGGTGGTTTCTGCGGTTTCAAAATACGGAGATTGGGGTCAGAGATCTTGATCTTATTCAAGAGAGGATGATTATCAACGGTTTTTGCCATTTTTCTACAGGAGGTTTTGGATGATTGGCAAAATCAATTTGTTTGTCCAAAAGTGGACGCCGGATCATTTACCATCTAAAGATTGCCCGGTGGCACTGGTTTGTGTGGAGATTCGTAACATTCATCTGCATTTATCAGATCAAAAGGTTCTATACACCATTGGGTCTAGATTAGGGAAGCCAATGAAATTGGATCTCAATACTGTATGGGGGGTCAAGCCTGACTCTGCTAGGATTTCCGTAGAAATGGATGTCTCCATTGCTAGACCTCCACGTATACATGTGAGAATGGGTGATCAAGATCTTTGTCTTCCATGTAAAATGTTTCCGATTTGGTCATCAAACCCTTGACTGTAGAAAATATGGAAAAATAGTCTCATGGGGAAGGCTTCACCTAGTGAGACAGTGATAAATGGGGCAGATAGACGACAAGATGTGCATAATGATGGTCGGGAAATAGTTAGAAGATGGTTTAAAGATGATAAGGATTGTAAGACCAAATTTGCAGTGTTGGGGGAATGCAAGGAAGTTCTAACTGATAAAGAGGGAGGTTCCAGTAAAGAAAACTATGATAAAGCTTTTCCATTAATGGACATGGTCCAGCCAGTTCACCTACCTTCATATAGGGACATCCATCAACAAAAATTTGATGTATCTGAGTAGGTGAACAGAGATGCGGGGGGGGGGGGTGGATTTCTAAGTCAGGTTCTGGAAGAAAATCAGATCACAGGTAATGTGGGCATCATACCTTGTGAGAATCCTGTGAATATACAAGGCTTGGAAGAGGAGACAAATGTGAATTTGATGACAATTCATAGAAGGTTTCTCCCGAAATATCTCCCGAAAATGTTTTGATAAATCTGTGTTTGAGCCATTAAAAATGATTTTAGCAGATGCCCTAATTTCTCAATAACTATACCCAAAAATACCGGAAGAACACAGAATTGCTCTACATTGGGGGTTACAACTAGGGGTATGCTGGAAAGAGGAGTAAGCAAAAATCCTTTAAAATGAAAATTTTGTTTTGGAATGTCTATGGGGTATCTTCTTTCCTCATCACACTTATTACACTGAGGAGTTTTGGTCTGGATTTTATGAGTACTATGGAGCCTATGGTAAAAGTACAGAAAAGGGATGTCTTTAGAATGAAAATTGGGTTTACTAATTGCCTTGTATGTTGTATCCCTAAATAACAAAAGATGGATGTTTTGGAATGAAGATGTGCTGAGTTTGATAAGTGTTAAGGAAGAAGAGCAGATCACCACTTGTGAATTTCTATATAAGGTTGATGGATCTATCATTTTCATTTCTAGTGTCTATGGAAAGCACAAGATTGGCGATAGGGAGGATCTATGGAGAAGTATGATAGATCACTGTCCTACTAGAAAGAGATGGATAATAAGGGGAGACTTTAATGCAATAACTAGTTTTAAGGGGAGTACTCCATGTACTCAAAGTATGATGGACTTCAACAGATGTATTTATCAGTGTAAGTTGGTTTGTCCTAAGCCTGTGGCAGCCTTTTTACATGGTCAGGAGTGAGATTTCTGGGCAGAATTTGGAGAAGACTTGATAGGGTGCTATGATCTGAAGTGCTGGTGAATCTTGAAGTCTTAGCGGATTATACAGAAGTAACATTGAGACACTTTAGCAAAGCTACTTCAGATCATAGGCCTTTGTTTTTGGAGTGCCATAGTAGCAGTATAACTAATCCAAAGCCGTTCAAATTTCTCAATGTTTGGGCACAATATGATGACTTCAAAAATGTGATTAAGGATTATTGGCTTACAGCTCCAACTCCTGGAGGAATGAGGGGTTTGACTTTCAAACTAAAGGGTTTGAAAGATGTTTTGAAAGAATGCAATATAAAGGTAATTGGTAATATTTTTAAAAAGTTAAAGGAAGCAGAAAATGAGGCTAAGAAGACTTAGGAGGAATATATGAAGAAAGTCCTAGTGATAAGCTGAGGGTGGCTGCAAACTCGGCTGATGCCAAGATTTTAAAGAAAGTCAACAAGGAGGTGGAATATTGGAAACAAAAAGCTAATATCAAATGGATTGATAAGGGTGATACTATTTCCAAAAAGTTTTAGGCATATGCAAGGCGCAAAATAGCCAAGATGGGTATTAAATCCATAAAAAAATAAGGATGGAAAGAAATTAATGAGGAAATTGAGGCAATTGATCATTTTCGGAAGTTGTTTACAGATCCTTTCTCTCCTTCCACGGAGTGTTTTTGGATTTATTTATGGGCAATCAGGTCCCTATGGCCCTACAGTACTTTGGTAACTCTAATCCTAAAAAAGGAAGAGCCTAAGACCTTTGCAGATTACAGGCCAATATCACTCCCCACTTTTATGAGCAAGATTAACACAAAAATCCTAGCCTCAAGACTTAAGAAAATCTTGCCAAAGGTGATAAGATTTGGATCACTTATAGCAGGAGGCCACGTCAGCAACTTTAATTATATTAGTTCGTTCTCTTTACTTGTTACTTTAGTTTAAAACACTAGTCATTAAATAAAAGGACTCACAGGTTGTCAGGAGTCCTGAAACCCTAGAAGTTTGCCTAGTTGTTATTTAACCTTATCTGTTTGTTACAGAGTTATAAATATCCCAGCCTCCCTATTGCTGGATACGCAGAAAATAAATCAACGTTCTTGAGATCCTCTCGGCTTCTATCCCTTTCAATCTGTGAGATTCTTACTGTGAGAGAGGAAGGAGAGTTTTATTTAGAATTAATTAAGATCCTGAATTAATTCTAACAAGGTTTCTATCATTTGGTATCAGAGCCCTCGTTACTCGATCCCTATGGCAATTACCCGCTGAAACGCTGCCCACGGTGAGGACAGTGGATCCAACGAGCAATCAGCACACGAAGTTAGTCCGCAGAATGACACTCTAGCACAAATCGCTCCAAGCTTTCTGTGTTGGATGACCTCAAGGCAGAAGTGACTGCCATGAAAGCGCAGGCCAGAAGTAATTCTGGGAAGACAAAGATGAGGCAGTATATGGACGAGTCTGATGATGAAAACGATCACAACCACCGCCGATTTCCGAGATCCAAAGTTGAGTTCCCTAAATTTAATGGTGGAGATCCAAGGGGATGGGTGCTGAAGGCTGAAAAGTACTTCCGGTACTATGGAACATCAGAAGAAGACAAGGTGGAGATAGCGGCCATGCACCTGGAGGGCGACGCTCTCGACTTGTTTTCTTGGATCAATGCCGAAAGGACTCTCTTGTACTGGGAAGAATTCATCAAAATTATTGAGGAGCATTTTGCTCTGCCAGAATACTTAAACCCGGACGAACACCTAGTCCTAATCAAACAAACAGGTTCTGTGCAAGACAATCGTCAAGAATGGGCAAGAAGGGTTGCTCGACTCCGAAATTGTCCTGACCACTGTCTCTTGGGTGTTTTCATGGCTGGTTTGAGAGAAGACCTGAGGTCGGATGTCCGAATTCACAAACCCAAATCTGTGTTCAGGGCTTCCAGTTTAGCACTTGAGTTTGAAAAACGGAATACATCTCCGCGTTTCAAGACAAATCAGACGGGCTCAAGCCGGTTTGCTGGTTCAGGCTCTTTCACTTCACCAAACCGAGAGGTTAAAAAATCAGCCCAATCTCATTCGCCCCAGCCGCTCGCGTTCTCAGGCTCTGCAGGTTCAACATCGTTGTTGCCCAATTCGAAAAGCCAATGGGAATAGCTTTTGAACTTGGCTTTTAGAAAAATTATTTTTTTAATCATTTTTCTTGAAAGATATTTTATAATATTTGTAAAAAAAATAAAAATAAAAGTTAAAAATTTTAAAAATTACAAAAAAAAGTTTAAAATTTTAAATTTTCAAAAAAAAGATATGAGAAAATCAAAAGTAAAAATCATTAAAAAGTTATATATTAATCATTTCTTATGAATTATACGAAAATGAATTTTTATACTCCACATATTAACGATTTAATTTTTACATGAACAAAAATAAAAAACAAATATTGTTTGTGTCCATACATACATACATACATACTTACGTACGTACATACATACGTACATACACATACATACATGCATACATACATACATACATACATCGAAACAGCTATTTTCAAAGAGCTAATTTTACCAAACATTTTTTACGATCAGCCAACTCATCCTGTCGGTCAAACCAGCTATTTAGAACAGCCGATACAAACAGCCAGCAGCCAACATCTGACAGCTAACCTCCAAACAAGGCCTAAGTCTCGCATGGACAATAAATTCATTTAGGGTTTCAATGCTGGCAGATTACCTTCTATCAGCCATCTGATATGTGCAGATGATTCGATGATCTCTGTTAATGGAGCCACAAAGGATTTTCTTAGATTAAATGGCATCACTTATAATTATCTGATTGCTTCAGGACAAGAAATAAACTTAGCTAAGAGCAGATTCTATACACATAAGAAAGCCTTTGTTAAAATGGTTCATAAAATGGAAAAAGGCCATAGAAATGAAATGTGGCTCACTACCTTTTACTTATCTGGGAGCAACCATGTGCAAAGGCAAGATGAAGAAATAACATTATGCTAGTATCATAGATCATTTTGATATGTACATTAAATTTTGGTTTAGTATGGTGATAAACCAAATGGGCAAGCTGGTGCTTATCAAGCAGATTCTGTCTACCATTCCTCTACATATTATGGGAGTACATCAGATACCTATATGGCTAAATGAGTTATCAAGATGTTAAATTATAGGATGGCAAATTTTGTATGGGGATTTAAAGAAGGTAAGCCCAAATACCCTTGTAAATCTTGGGATGAAGTTTGCAAATCAAGTCAAACAGGTGGTATGGGTATCAGACCTTTGGAAGAAGTTCAACAGGCATACTCCTTGAAGCTATGGTGGAAGATGCAGAATGGAGTGGGCATTTGGCCTGATTTTATGAGGGCTAAATACAAAAAGGGAGATACTCTCAAAGAAAGGTTGACAGATTCCTCTACCTGGAAGAGGATATGCAGAATAGATGAGACTGCAGCAGCTCATATTTTTTTTGGATCAGATAGAACGCTTTGGAATGGAGGCCCCTTCACTCTTAAAAAGGCATATGAAGATTGTTAGACATTCATAATTAGTATAAATATTGTTTATGGAAATATTGTAATTTTGGTAGCTACCATTATGATTCCTAATTAGGTTAGGAATCTACCTCCTATTTATATACATATGTATTCTCCATATTCAATCAATGAAAGTCAATTATTCTCTTCTCAATAAAGATATTAAAAAAGAGGAGAGCCTGAAATGATGTCATGCAGTTTCATTTGGTGTAGCAGTCAGATTTCAAAAGTTAAAACCTTCCAATGGAGACTTAATTTTGGATGTCTAAACTCTAAACTAACCTGAAAAGATTTAATATGCACCTTCCTAGCCAATGCATCTTCTGTAAGAGACATGAAGACTCAGTAGAAGACCATACATTTCTACATTGTGAGATTAGTTCTCCAATTTGGGCTTTCTTTGCAGATCTGACAAAGGGACCTTCACTTCAAAATAGAAGGCCTCTAAATCTCATATGATGGAATGGTGGCTTAGCTCAAACTCCAAAAGTCTCAAAGGAAACCCCAGGATCATTCTGCCTGGATAAATCACCTCGATCACTCACTCCCAGGCTCATACAAGACATTTTTTTACCTCAATGTTGGTGTTGGATCAATATGGAGAAGACATAAAGGACAAGGACTTCCAAGGATGGGGTTTAGATCAATTTTGGCTAAATGGTAGAAAACTTTTGAAGGTGTTACTGTAGCTTTAGATTCTATTTAGTCTTTGTTTCTGCATTTCTGTGATTTTATATGCCCTACTTTTCAATAAATGTTTTGTTTTCTTAAAAAAAATTAAAAATATATTAGTTATTAAAATTCGTAATTCTGTTAGTCTTTGTTTGATAGGTCATTCATTCAAGCCCTAAATTGATACTTTTCTTCCTCGATGTCTAATTGATAACTAATATAGATGGCTCTGGTTCCCGTGCAGCTACCTGTTATCTTAAATTCTTAATATATACTCCCACCTTTTACATTTAGTTGTCAGCTTTCCAGAAAATTTCTAATTTGAGGAATAAGGTTAAGATGAATTCAGCATGTCCTTCATTCATAGCAAGAATGCTTATATGCAATTTAGGGGGGGTGGGGTGGTGTTTTTGATAATTCATAATAATTAGTTTAAGAAAAACTAATTAGTTTGATAATTATTAAACTAATTAGTTTAAGACACCATATTCTGACGTCGCAAAATGAAAAACTTCATAGTCAAACATTTGCTCTTATACTCAATCAACCTTCATATTATTTTCAAGAATATGCTTTGCTTCAACTTGTAGCCTTGTATTTTAGTATTGCTTCAATTAGTCCTATCTGATTAGTACTGCTATGTCTCTTGTTTTGAACATCTACAGATTATTGATGGAAGAATAATTTTTGTGGAAGCTGCCAAGACCACAAGACCAGGGGAGAATTAACTGTCCAGAAAAACAATCTCAGGCCATGAGATTTCTGTTTGTTCCCTTTGCTATTACAACTCATATGAGGAGCAAGAAGGGGACCTGGCAAGTTCAAGAAGACTTGTAACCTTTATGCCATCCATGTAAAGGTGGTGTGTTTTTTTAGTTGTGTGCAGTTCATGTTTATGTGTGGAAATATTTGGATCTCGAAGGGAAGCCTTTTAGCTCCAGAGTTTCGGACTTTCGGTACTTATTGTTAATCTAGACTCCACGGATCAATGGTCTGTTTGTTTGGAGTGTTTTTCGAAAATTTCAATTCTATTTTCTAACGTTTGTTAACTCATGGGGAAATTTTTTAGAAGGAAAAATACTCTTTCTCAAGAGGAAAGAACTTCCTTTTGCTTTGGACGGAGGTAAATTTTCCTACTCCATCGAGTCTGTTGATTTCACGAGCAAAGCAAATAACCTATATGTGATATGCAAAATAAATACTCACAATGTTTCTTTTACGGGGGTACAAGTTTTTTACAACAAACAATCTTTGAATTCGCTAAAGAAATTAGTACTATTAAAAAATCAAAAGCCACTGGGGGCAATTTCCCCCCATAGACACTTACTAGATCCGCTAGTATATGGAGTATTGTTCTCCAAAACAAATTCCCTTAAAAATCATAATAAAAAAAGAAGATTACACCTCTATCGGACAAACTATCATGCTTCAAAGGATTTTTTTTAACCTTAGCACCAACGTCACTACAATTTAAATTAGTGCCTTATGGGAAAAAAATTTAAATTTTCACATTCATGATCATCTGAAGTAAAGTGGTATTTGAAAGAATAAAAAATAACATGTGAAATCTTAGTATATATACACCACACATATGATTTCAAAATTAGATCATGCTAGCACTTGTAAACGTTACAAAAAATGACCATTGGAAATCTATTTCACTCTCAAGAAGTTCGTAGGTTTCTTGTCATGCTATTGAATTATACTACCTCCGTCCCATTTTATAACGCCTGTTTCAGTTTATGATGTTTGATTGAAATTATTTTCAAATCATTTTATATGACAAATGGTATATAATTAAAAAATAAAAATTACATATTAAAAAACTACATCAAAAGATCTACAAAACTAGTAGTGACAATAATATTTTATTTTATCAAATTGCTAACGAAAATAGAGAAAGAAAGTGAATGAAGTTTGACCATGTGAATAGTAAACATGCATTATAATTTGGGAGGGAGTACAAAAGTTCTTATATGGAATGTCTTTGTTCTTGTGCAGGTAAAAAAACTATCCTTTTTTATGCACTTGATGGGCCATTGATCCAGCAACTTTTCGGAGCTCAACGCGCCAGGCTGATTCAAGAGTATCTTGTCCAGTTGCATGAGTGGGAAGAGGAGTTCTGTTCTTTTCGTGATTGACCGCGTCCAATCACGTAAGAGGTGGGATCGCATGGCTTAGCTTTGATGGTGGAGGAAGACCAGACTTTGATTGAACTACCATGTTTATCATTTTCCATACATGATTCAAATGTTGTACTTATAAAGAGGGGCGAGACCCCATTCTAATCCTGAAGCGCAATACATCTAATTCATACTCGCAATATTCATCACGTTCTCAAGCTATGTGCCTTTCTTGTTACTTTATCTTATTCGTTAATTCGATCTGCCTTCTTGGGTAAGATCATTTGGTGGAATTGTTTTTTATCAGTACCTCTGATCTTCTCCACAGTTGGCAACTGCTCGTGAAAATAAATATACTCTTGATAGAAAACTAAATTTATGCAGCCCCTAAAAAATACATTCTTAAAATTCAACAAAGACGTAGATTGTTCAAACGTTACACAAATATCATTTAACCTTTTTACAAACATCAACACTCTATAAGACAAATTATTTTAACTTAAAAATAAGAGTTTGAAAATCAAAAACAATATAAACACTCAAAACTTAAATGAATCATCCCTAAAATTCATACTACTAATTTATGAAAAAAACAGTATCAGGCACTATAATCCATGCATCGCGTGGAGAAATATATATATATATAAGAGTGTAGTGTTGCTGTTCATTTTCGATTCCAACTGGTAGGTTGAAAAACCAGAGGGCCTCCTGCATTTAAAGGTTGATTTCTTGCAAATGAACGTGTAGCCTCGAAAAGCATGTGAGATTAATTTTTGCAAGGTATACTTAAACACATGATTTGTAGGAGTGTTCTATAAAATATTGTACAAAGGAGAGGATCCCTTTTCTCTAGCTTGTGGAAATGGTTTTGAGCAAAACTAAAAATATATAACATTTTTATTTTTTGTGTTTTCTAAATCCAGAATAAACTCTTACACGTACTAGTATAATACGAACTCAAGCATACATGTATTTTTAGTCAAGAAAATGAAAGGAAATAGATAGCTAAGAAGAGTACTTAGAAATCAAAGTCATCCTGATTAGGCTTGGGGGAAGTCAACAAAGCTGTATATAGTCTAAGTCGTTCTTCTCCAAGTGAGGAGCACCTAGACAAAGGTCTCCTCGGCCTAATGAAGGAAAGAGAGGTAAGTGTCAAGTGATGTTTAAATCTTCGCCAAGCGAGTTGGATGGCAACAGCTCCCCATGTTCTCCACCCAGGAGAGTAATACCTTGCACTTCTCTTCACTTTCTCCTTCACAAATGTGTGTCGGAAGTGTTGTGTCACGTACTTCACATCATGGGCATCAAGTCCAAATGCCTCAGTCGCCTCTAGGGTTTCCAGCGTGAAGGAGGATGGCGGTAGACGCTCTACAAATGGCCGTCGAAGACACCACGATAGCAGCTCGTCGCCACTAAAGTTTCCCGGTCCTAACATGCAACAACTTCGCACGCCTTCTCGTAGTAATTGGCTGCTTTGGAGATGACCTCTCACTATAAACAACATTCTCTCCACGGGGTTGCCCTCTCTTGTTATCTGCAAAAAAAAGTGCTTGTTCTTGCTTTGTTAGAAAAATGCCAGCTTTTGTTACATTATTATTAGTCCTTCCATTCAATTTGATAGTAACATTTTTAAACATTGTTCACAAATTATAGAAAAAATATATTAAATTATAATATTAATTTAATATCAATAGATTTATTTTGAAACTTTGTTTTGAAATATCATATTTTCATAATATATGTCTGTATGCAAATAGAGATATATTAATGGTCAAATTGTTACATGAAAGACTATGAAAAATCAAAACAAAAAGTTTATTGGAGGAAGGAAGTATTAATATTAAGAACATTATTCAAATACTAGAAATTAAATACGGAGTATTAAATACTCCTTCTATTGAAAATAAATTTACTGTCTTCATCCCATAAAATGCTTTACACTTCCATTACGCTCCATAAATATTTTTTTCATTTTTTTCTTTCGTGCCAAATAATAAATTTCAGTCTCATCTACGCAAACTCTAATAATACAATTTTTACTTTTCAACACTTTTTATTTATGTGGAAGAAGAGTAGTATTTTCTTTTTTTCACAATTTCACTTACTCTCTTTGTAGAAATATGTGAAAAATAAAAATGATTTCTTTTTCAAAAGACAAGGTATTTATACAAATTTACACAAACCTAATTACACAAGTCCATACCCAACATCGAAATATACATCAGAAATAGTAATATACGCTAAACGTCCCCTCAAGTGGACACATGAAGATCACATATGCCTAACTTGGACAATAAAAGGAAAATAAAGGTCTGGATAAAGTCTTTGTAAATAAATCAAGTAGCTAGAAATGCATAGGAATATAAGTTGTAGTAATCCCTCATCGTTGGATGCCTTTACAAATGATGTGATAGCCAATATTAAAATGCTTCATTCATTCATGGAAAACTAGATTAGAAGCAATGAATAAAGAAAATTTATTATCATAGAATGTGGCACCCCAAAAGCACTAAGGATACCACTTATCCACCTGATTTTAGCACACGCATTAGCCTTGGAACGTTACTTAGCCTCAACTGACAAACGATACATACTAGTTTGGTTTTTAGTTTTCCATGAAACTAGAGATCCACCCAAAAGAATAAATACCCACTAACAGAACCGCATGTATGGGGACAAAACGCCAAATCATAGTCGGACGGTACATGGTAACCCAAGAGCTCTAAGGATACCACACATCCACCTAATTTTAGAACATGCATTAGCGCTGGAGTTGTATTCAATCTTAGATGACAAACGAGACACAATGGTCTGCTTTTCTATTTTCCAGGAAACCAGAGATCCACCCAATAGAAAAAATATTCACTAATAGAACAACGTGTAAGGGGAAAACTCACCCAATCAGAGTCACAATAAGTAGATAGTAAAAGGGAAATATCACTAGGGGGAAAATACCTTGACCTAGTTGTCTTTTCAAGTACTAAAGAACATCTAGTGCAGTAGCCATATGATATGATCAAGATACAGTGCATGCATAAACTAAGAAAGGACATGAATAGAGTATGATAAATTTGGCCAGGTGATCGTCAAATATATGAGTTGACCCACATGGCGCATGTACCTCACTAAATCTAGCGCATGTACAACATTGAATCTGTGAGTTCGCCGCTAGTGGAATAGGACAAGCCATGATTTTGTGAAATATGAGTATTTATTGGCTTACAACCCAAGGGAATAACGTTTTAGGAATGTCTAACACATATTTTCCCATACACAGTACCATACCCTCCAAACAGAGAGCACACTCAATGCCCAATAATAATAAAATAGACATAGATCTTTCTAATTAAAACAATTATACAAGTCTTTTTAAGCTTGCACAAAGAGTCTGATTGATAGCGACTGCCCAAATATCGTCAACATATACCAACACAACCAATATGTAAGGCCGAACATGGAAAATAAAAAGAGTATGGTCTGCATGAACCTGGTGAAATGCATATCAACAAAAGGCAGTGGTGAGTTTCACAAACCAGTATCGAGGAGACTAGCGTAAACCATAACAATATTTTAGTAGACGACAAACTTTTCCTGGGAATTGATGAGACAAACCATGAGGGATGCACATATACACCTCGCCCTATTAAATCCTATGAAAAAATGCATTACTCACATTGCGCTGATGAAACTCCCAATTTTTAGCGACTGAAACTGAGAAAAACTCAGATAGTACCCATTTTACCAACATGTGTAAAAATGTCCGTATAATTAGTCCTTAGCCCTTGATGATTATCCAAAACCACCAAACGAGCTTTTCACGCTTTTTAGTTCCATCAAATTTAAATTTATTTTTAAACACTTATTGGCAGCGCAGTGCTTTTCGGCTAGGTGACAAGTATGTAACAACCCAAGTGTTATTATTTTCCAAAGCCTAAATATCTTACTGCATAACTACGTGGTATGAGGCATGTGCTGCATCTGCGCTGTAATTCTTGGGTACAAAGTGTTGACTATTAATTCTTCGAAAACCTTGGTACCTATCATGTAATTTTTTTGGAATTATAGATATATTTCATAAGATAAACAAGAGCTGACACTGTCGCATCGGAAGAATATGTTGGGCAATGGCAAGCTGATCAGGAAGAGTATGTGGGGCTATTTTGGGTTGGGTGGTTCTAGACTGGGAACTATCAAGCATGTTTAGTTTCGGACTTGGTAGTGTCGGACTTGGTTGTGATGGGTTGGGTAATTTTAGATAGTATGAGATTAAGAATGTGAACAAGGTTTGTCTATGATGCAAAACAGGTGAAGTGTTATGAGTGGCAAACGAGAATTCGGTTTCATCAAAGCATATATCATGTAAAAATAGCTAGTTAGACTCAAGGTGATGCATAAGCCAACCATAAGTGCTGATGGGATACCAAAAAAACACGCTCTAAATACTACATAGTGCGAAATTGTGGGAAGTTTTGAGGTGCAGAAAACATGAACAATCAAAGACACGAAGGGGACTTAGATCGAGGGGATTTGGAACTAAGGACCTCAAAGGGAGACTTGTCCCCAAGTAATTTTCTAAGAGTGCGACTAATCAAGAAATAATGGTACGACGAACACATTCCCCTCAAAACTCAACAAGAAAAGAAGCTTGAAACATAAAAGAGTGTGCAACATTTAGAATATGTCAATGTTTATGCTCGACATGACCATTTTGTTATGGTGCACCTACATAAGAAGTGTGAATGGAAGCACCCAAGGAATTATAAAGTTGGTGCAAAGAATTGTTCAAGATTTATATGCCATTGCTCGAGTGCACAATTTTAACTATTTTATTAAATTTGGTGTTAATCAAGGAAACAAATTGTTTCAAGAAACTTGACATCTAAAATTTATCATGAATGAGATAAGGCCAAATAGACCTTGAATGATCATCCTCAATGCTCAAAAAATATTGAGCACTAGTAGCTAAGCTAGGAGTGTATGACCCCTGACCCATAAATCACAGTGAACCAAATAAAAAATATGAGTAACTTTATTAGAACTAATTGGAATCACGGGACGAGTTTGTTTTGACTAAAAACAAAGATCACAAGTTTGAAGCTTTTTTAAACAAGAGCTCCTTTTATTGGGAAAGAAATATGACAAAACTTGTGGAGATGGATGACCCAAACACTGATGAAGATGTAAAGTATGCACATGAGTGGCAAGGGCAAGACAAAGTGGATAAAACACGTATACTTCATTGAGAGCTTCACCCCGATAAATATCTCTCTTTATGAGACATTCTTGTATTACACAAAAATGTTTGTTAAAAATTACTAGGCAAGAACTATCACGAATAAGGCATGCCTCAAAAATGAATAAGGAATGCGAATAATACTTTCTCAAGTACCAATGCTGAGGAAAAGGAACACTACCACATTTCTTAACAGTTGTATCATCACCGTGCCATTTGGTAGGGTAATACCACAAGGTTTCACGCGTGTGATATTGAACAGGGAATGGATATTACCAGTCATATGATGTGATGCTCCACTATCAATGAGCCAATCAAGAGATGAATTGGAACTCGTACAATAACCATTTTCATAGACGAGCCACTTGATCCGCTTTCTGTTGATAGAGATACTGTGTTGTGACCCTATGGTTCTAGACCACCATCGCGCCTACCACGACCACTGCCACGACCCCCTCTTGATGGCGGCCCTCTTTGACCATGACCACAACCCAAGGGTATCCCATGATTTTATAACACCTACCAATAGAGTGTCTTTGTTTTCCATTATGAGTGAAAGAATTTAGGGTGCATTGGATGTGGCTGGTGGCACGCGGCAAAAAAAACTCCATCTATTCTATCATCAATACTTCGTACAATACTTATGTGTCACTCCTCTTTCTTTTAGATGTAAAAAGCTTCGTGCCTCAATCACCCTCTGCCTTTTCTTCTTCTTCTTCTTCTTCTTCTTCTTATTCCCTTCTACCTTTTTCTTCTCTTTCTTCTAGGTCTATGATGGTGGGGGATGGCGGTGATGGAGGAACTTGCGGTTGTGGTGGGGGCTAGTGGTGACGGGGGTACTGGCGGAGAAGGTGGGGTTGGCAGTGGTGGTGGGGCTAGTGATTGTGGTGGGGTATAGTGTTGACGGAGGGACCAGCGGTTCTGGTGGGGGCTAGCAGCGACGAGGGTGCTGGAAAAGAAGGTGGGGTTTGGGGTTGTGGTGGGGGTGGTGGTTGTGGCGGGGGATGTCGACAATGGGGGCTGGTGGAGATTAGTATTGGGCAATAAGAAGATCATTGGTGTGGACAAGGGAAGGGTATTTTTGACCATTCTACTCCATAGTCAACCACTCATAAAAATGAGCAAAAGTTAAAGTGGGAAAATCATTCTCAGGCAGAGGGAGTAGCTTTCTTTCAGCCGGTGGCGATGGAGCGATTGCTTTCAGATTCATTCTTCTGCCAAAAACCAAGGATGGGCCGGCAGACTATCAGGCAGAGCTCTTATTCACTAACAGAGCAGATAGGTTAAGGTGAACATTCTGCATTCCAGCCCATATGTGAGAAAGAAGTCAGGCAAGTTGGTTTATTTGTTATTATTGTACAATGTATTTAAAAATAAAGGGGACAAGTTCAGACCACTAATTGAGGATAAGGATGCATAATTATTCATCTCTTTCAAATATTTGGTTTGAGTCAAGGGAAATGGACATCATGCATGATTTTTGTGTATGGAATTAGTGTTGAGTTTTCCACTTCGACAAACACTTTTCTCGTTGTTTTATCTTGGTGTTCTATTAATACTCAATGATGTAGATTATTGTACTACCGAAAATTACAAATGGATTTTGAGAAGTAAATTTGAGCTCCCATTACCATCATCATTGTCAACTTATCATTTTGTTTTCCAATTTTTCAAAGCTTCAACAAAGGTTAGTAGTTGCTCTCTAATTATTTTATCCATTATATATTATTGGAGAGACATACTCACAAACCTCTCCGGGGTTAAACTCTTCAAGGAGGGGTAACTGAACTTGTTGGCATGCTCTCATCGCCCGCGACTTGCTCCCATGGCCTAGCTCGCATCTGATTTTGGTTACATCTACTTATTTGAGTGTGATTTGAGCTCGTATTTGTGTGAGATTTGCTTCTACGACTTAGATTGTTCGTGAATGTTTCATGTTGTATGCCCAGTGTGTACGTTCTGCTATTTTGCCTAAAGAGGTCACTCGGCACAATTCTATTTCTCTTAGAGGCTAGCTCTTATGTGTCTTGTTACAGGGGGAGACAAATCCCAAAGTACTCACTTTGGGAGGGCACTCTAAAGAGAGAAAGAGTAGAGGACGAATCCTAAAGGAGGATTCTCAAAGACTAAAGAGGGCCTCATGACGCTTGATCCTTCCGTGGATCCTACTTGACCACCTCGCCCCTTGAAGGCCAGGTCATCTCAAGTGCCCCTCAGGGAGGAGCTAAATTCCCGCACAAAGCAACCAAGGGAAGGGAGCTTTGAGCGGGGGATGAACATGGTCCTTCTTAGGGCACAACTTGTTTAGTCTTGCAGAGGACAAACTCCATCCCCACACCGCTCTAGCACAACACCACAAAAAATCCCATGCTCAGTCTCTTGAGGTCAAAGTGGAAGATTTCAAGCACATTGTAAAGCCTTCTGTGAGGAAAAAGAACATCAAAATGATACAACGTGACATGAGAAATAATCAACACCATTAGTTCAACACCAAAAGGCACCATCACAAAAATTGATACATGAACATTTATTCCTATTGCAGGAAGTGAGGACATATCAAGAAGCAGTGCTAGAAGCTAAAAAATATAAGAACGAGGAGAAGACCTTCCACCAAAACTTTCAAAAAGATGATAATGATGTGGAATCCTAAACATACTACATCACTTGCTAACTCATGTTTCAAACTCACACCTGATCAATGGGTCATAAATAGTGGGTGCTCATACCATATGATTGGTGAGAAGGAGAATTTATCAATTCTTCAGGTCGTATCAATTCTTCAGATTGTGAAAGGTGGAAATGTCAAATTTGGGGGAGGTGCTCATGGTAGAATTATTTAAAATGGCATCCTTAATATCTCTAAAAATCCACCAATTAAAAACATGTATTTGGTTCAAGGACTTCAAGTAAATTTTCTGGGTATGAGCCTAATTTGTGATGAGGGGTTGGAACTAAATCTTCACCAGGCACCACCACCACTCAAATCGACACATCAACTACATGTGTTCTATTAAGAAAAAATAGACATATTCCATTCATCGCTCTCACCATCATAAAGAAAACTAACCTCCCTCAAAGTTTTTGGGCCAAAGCTTTGCATACAGCTTGTTGCACCATAAATGATGTATATCTCAGAATTGTGACTAAGGCAACACCTTAAGAATTGGGGAAGGATAAAACTCCAAATATGACACACTTTCACATCTTTTGAGAAAAGTGTTATGTACTCCGCAACTGTGAACAAAGAGGGTGGTTTGATCCTAAAAGTTATGAGGCTATCTTTGTTGGTTACTTTCCAAACAGCAAAGCCTTTAGAGTCTATAAGAAGCAAACCATGCCAGAACTATAATGGAGTCAACAAATGTTGTTGTAGATGATCAATTGCACCCAAAATCAAAAGATGATACTCATGATGCTCAAACACCACTAGAAGTGATATAAAAGGCCAGCCGTTAGAAAGCGATGAGGAAGAGACTGACAAAATAATATTCTTGAAATCGTCAAGGTCCTAAGTCACATTCACAATAATCATCCTTTGGAAAACATGATTGGTACACCTACTGAAGGGATGAGGACATATAAAAACTTTGATATTTTGGAAATGACTAAGGCTTACTATATGTCATCTATTACACAAAAGAACATCGAAGAAGCTTTAACGGATAAATCCTAGATAAGAGTTATGCATGAAGATCAAGGAAAATTTGAGAGAAACAATGATTGGGAGCTTGTTCCTAAACCTGATCACGCCAATGTGATCAGAACAAAATGGATTTACTTAAACAAGACTGAAAATAGGGTAATGTTCTGGCTCAAGGATACACTCAAATTGAAGGAATAGACTTGGAAGAAACCTTTGCTCCCGTAGCACAACTTGAATCGATACACATGCTAATTAGTATGTGATGTGTGTTGAATATGAGGCTATATCGGGTGGATGTTAAGACTTCCTTCTTAAATGGCTATCTTAAATAAAAAGTCTATGTCTCACAATATAAAGGTTTAAAAAATCCCAAACATCTTGAATATGTGTATAAACTGCACAAAGCAATCTATGGGCTAATGCAAGCACCTTAGCATGGTACGAGATA